ATCTATCTATCTATCTATCTATCTATCTATCTATCTATCTATCTATCTATCTATCTATCTATCTATCTATCTATCTATCTATCTATCTATCTATCCTTCCATTTATCCATCCTTTCATCCATGTGTATATCCATCTATCTGGAAATAAAATATAAAGAAGTTATGGATGGTTTAAAACGTTTGCACAGTAATGTTTTACTTTCTGTAAAACGACCTGCTCCGTCTAATGCTCGTCTCCCCGTAGGTGCCCRAACACCAAGGACAACACCATCGGCATGGCGGAGAACGGCGTCTCGCTCACCTGCCGCTTCCACGTCACCGTCTTCAAGTTCATTGGTGACTACGACGAGGTGCACCTCCACTGTGACGTGTCTCTGTGCGACTCAGACACAAATGCCTGCAAAGTGGTGAGACACTCGAGACCAAAAACCTTCAGCTCCCATCAAAAGTGACAAAATGTCCTGCGGCGTGTTTTAACATGTGTGTGATGTGTCCAGAACTGTCCACACAAGAAAAGGATGTACTCAGAGGAAGGGGACCACAAGGAGCATATCCTAACTGTGGGGCCCATAAGGAGGAGAGGTGGGTCCTCCTTTACTTTAAAAGTGCATTTTTTAGTGACCTGTCAATCAACTGGACTGGCCARTCAGGTTCCACTCCTCTAGCTCTGCCCCATTTAGATGTTCAGTCTCTAAAATTGCTGGGGTTTATTGTATTCTTGATCCAGCGGAACTCAGAGCTCAGGTTTTTGTCTCCTTTCGTCTCTTCAGAGTCCGACTGGTGCGAGGACGACAACGGAGGCTGYGATCAGATCTGCACCAGTAAGGGGTCCGGACCCATCTGCAGCTGTGTGACCGGAATGCTGCAACCTGATGGGAAAAGCTGCCGCAGTGAGGACTGCAAAACACACACAAACACATAAACTTCCATTTCACATCAACTGAATGGAGGCCAAAGGCATTTTGAAGGGTACAGATGGCTCTCTATTGTCACCATGATTACCACACAGCTGTGTCTGTCACTCCCTGACTGCCTAGTTAAGGAGTGACAGACAGAAACAGTCTAAAGTCTCAAAAAAAACAGTAAAACTGTAAAAACTGGGTCGGACATGAAGGTTTCTTGTTCCCTGAGCAGCAGAAGACTGATAGTCACGCTCAGGATTTTTTACGCTTCTTCTGTGTTTTGTTTTGTTTTGTTTTGTTTTTCCTCCCAGCTGTGAGTTTATCCTGTAAGGTCACGCCTGAGATTCCTCTGCTGAGTGTCGGCGCCGTCGTCTCCGTGGTCCTGGCTCAGTTCGACACGTTTCTTTTATCCTAAAGCCAAAACAACGATGCAGAGAAGACTTGAAAAAAAGAATGTACCGGATGTGAGTTTTTTTGTTTGTTTGTTTGTTTGTTTGTTTGTTTGTTTGTTTGTTTGTTTGTTTTTGTTTTTTTGTAGTTGAACTGTTTCAGAGAGAAATTTCCCACAAATAACACGTTAAATAAAATCACCTGAAGCCACCATATGTAGAATTTTTTGAATGTTTGTAAACTTTTAGCCATTTTTGTATAAAAAAGTTCAAATGTTTTTAAAAAAGGAGGCTTTCACCACCAGATGGCGCCAAAAAAACAAATATCTGATCTCACACAGGAAATGTTGAAGGTGTTGTATGTAACTAAACTCTTAAACTTTCCAGTCTGTGTGAATTTAATCAATTTAATTTAATCCAATGATTCAACAAGTCAGATTTAATATGGGGCTGTGTGAACAGAACGACTTTAAAACAGTTTGTTGTGAAGTATTTATGTTAGAAAAGCACTTTGTGGATTTAAGAAACTTTTACTTTTAGCGGTTTGCATCCAGATTAAGGAAAAAAATRTTTCTTATGTTGATGAAAAACTTCATTTCAGTCATTTCTGTTGCAGATTCAACATACTTTTTTAATGTGGGATCAATATTTTCAGAAGATAGTAGGAAAGGACTTAGATCAGTCACTTCCTGTTTCAGAGGACAGTTAGTTTTAATCTAAATGTGTTTTTTTTTTCATAGTTTGGACTTTTTTTGTTACCTGTTGTGTACAAAATGTACAGTCCTTGTCAGTTTTGTCTTTACTTTTTAAAAATCTTTTTAAGAATAAACAAACAAAAAATGAAAAATGTTTTTATTTTAATTCTTTGGGGAGGAAGCAGCATCTTTACGTAAAATAAATGTTCTCTAAAAGAAAATTATGTTTTGGTGATTAATTTAAACACGACCTCAGCTAACGCTCCTCTCATTCTCATTCAATAGTTTAACATCTCCAAGAGATCGTTCTCTAACAGGATAGTTCCCTCTGTTTTTCCTACCAGGGATCTTTCAACAACAATAWATTTCCCGAACTCTTTCCCCTCGCCTAATCATTACATTTTTYTCAATTAACAGAATCTTTCCTTAATGGGAATTTCCCACATGGGAATCATTCCCTAAAGCGACTCCCAGGAATCATCACTCAGTTTATTTAGAATTTGTCTCTAACAGTATCTTTACCACATAAAATCCTTCCACTGAGGAATCTTTTTTTACCTAATAGAATATTTTCTTTGCAAGATTTCTCTCCATATGAATTTTTCCTTAGCTCAGTTTTTCCCCAAAGTAAAGTTTTTCTTAGAGAATTTCCCCATGAATCTTTTTCTAACAGAATCTTTCCCTAACAGTAYCTTTACCACATAAAACTCTTCACATAGGAAATTGCTTTTCCTAATAKAATCATTTATTTGCAGGACCCCATGAATCTTTCCCCTGCTCAGTCTGTCCCCCAAGGTTACATGTTCTTTAGAATATATTCCCTTAGGAATCTTTCTGTAACAGAATCAGTTCCTAACAGAATCTTTACCGTGTAAAATCCTTCCACTCAGGAACCTAATGTYCTAATAGAATCTTTTCTTTGCAGAATTTCTCACAAAGTAATATTTCCTTTAGGAATCTTTCCTTCCTTCCTCATCACATTAACCTTTTTCTTTAACAGAAACATTTCTGCACTTAATTTTCCTCCAAATGGAGCTTTTCAGGAATCTTTTTCTTTTGTAACTGAATCTTTATGTAATACACTCGAGTTAAAGAGAAGACARAATACAATCCAGGCCAATAATCTGAATAATATGTAATAAGCAGCAGGTGTACTGAAAATAAGCCATTCACTCAAAAATATGAGCTCAACCTGACATGGTCAGCACAATTAACCTCCAAAGAATATTTTTAAAAAAACCCTCAAGTTGTTTCACAGCGTGAAGTCTTTCTCTGACTGAACTCCTGCCCCTTTCACGTGTTTTTGGTTGAACTTCTGTCCTTGCTGCTCGCTGTCTCCTGGCAGTAAAACAATAAAAACTAATGTGTCTTCATCAGTTTTACAGCTCCTGACTGTCCTCAGCCAATTCAGMGCCGCAAATTTAGGTCAATTTTTACCCGAATCTAAGACGAGCGGTGAGTCAGGCGTTTGAGGAGTTTCTGTTCCCCCGTCATCAGCTATCAGTGACATTTGATAGGAGCTGAAAGGTAATGAAAGTGGTGTTTAAAGAAACATAAGAAGGTAAGAAGAAACAGTTTCACATAAATTAAAGCCTAAAGTAGTGGTAAAAGCGAGAGAGTTAACAGAGGGGAAGAGCTGAACTTTATAGATTTTTTTTATGGGCTAACTTCCATTTACGTGGTTCTGTTCGTAAGTGGAGGTAAAAAGATCCTGACCTAAAGGAAAGGCTCCAGCAGGTTCTATTACAGACCAAATAAAGGCTTCACTTTTTCACATCAGGCCTTGAAGCACAAAGACTGTTTATACTTGATACAAAATAATTTTCCCGGTGGTTTTTATCCAATACATGCCTGTTTAGACTGATAGGAACACAAAATCTTAGTATTTCTTGGACAGCAGTCGTGTTTCAGTATCTAATTGGTGCCAAATGAACGGCAGAATCTAACATTTCCCAGCAGAACCTTCTAATCCAGCTTCCCTTTGTGCCTCCTGATGCCATGTTCTTGTCTTCCACAGGTAAGTCATGCATACAAACCCATACATCCACATTATGTAGAGGAAAAAACATGTTTTAACAAACCAGTAGTTTTTTTCATGCTGTGGTCCAGTTGTGGTAATGTGGTGCCTGTTGGTGTTTTTGTAGGTTGATGGGGGTCAATCATTCTGATCAGACCCATTTATTGCAAACTCTGGAGCATTTTGTTTCACTTGAACCAGCAGTTTCAACTATTGTGTTATTAATCTGTTAGATCCAATGTACTGCAATAAACCTTAAGCTTTGACCCCAGAACCAATTCAACATCTTCCTTTGTTGTGCCGATCTAATCCTGCCGAACAGAAACACCAAAGAAGACAAAATTGTGGCGTTGCCATGACCCAAATATTTTGCTTCCAAGACATGAAATTTAAGGACTAAAATTTTCCTATCAGTCAAAATGATAATCCACATACTGCCAGGTGTTGTTTTAATAAAGATTAGTTTTCATCTTTGCATTCATTTCATCTGAAATGTCGATTTTGTTGTCAGTAACTGTTTCTGGAATGAGGTTTGGGAATCAAAATTTATTTCTTGGTTTATTACGGAACATCGGAGAACTGGTTTTTTGTAATAATTTGAACAAGACAGGGCTTTCAGAGAAAACAAATTTTCCTTTGTTGACACCTAAAACCCAGAAAATGACAATTAGAAGTTTGAACTTTTGTGTAATGGGTTAAACTGGAAGATACAGTGTATCTCTTCCAAAAAATCACTGTTCTTTCTCTTCCAGAAAAGTGAGGTTATGTGGAAATTCACATAGTGAGACATCTCACTCATGCTACTCTGAGAACCGGGGTTATGCAACCAGTGGTGGATCTAGGATTTTTCTGAGTAAGGGGCCACAATATTCAGAGAGGGGCCAACTATTTGTTCAGCATCCTTGCACACAAATCCTTGGTTTTGGTAAGGTGTATATATTTACGCAGTCACACATTTAAACACTTGTAATGTAATTTTAAAACAGCTTACATTAAATTCTCCTTACCAATTTTACATGCATTTTTATAGTACATAGATAAAATACTCTCAAACATACAGCATGTGAGAGAATCCAGCCATCATTTGTGAGTTGAAAGACTTTTTCTGCAGGATTGTTCAAATTTTAAGCACAGAAAAAAAAAAAACTTCTGTTCTGCTCGATTCATGCCGGACTTTTCTGTTTGGCTCATTAGCGCCTCTAGTGTTTGGACATGGAACTGCACTCAGCATGTCACTCGGGATAAAGACAGATGAGTGACAGGACAGGGGCACTTCAGGGGGCCAATCAAATTTCAGCAGGGGCCAATGCCCCTGTGGCCCCGCCCCTAGAGCTGCCCTTAAGTTTTAACCTGGCAGCAACGTTTGGTCAAACTATCTGTTGGCTCCTCAGAACTTATAAATATTTATCCAGAGTGGATTTGTATATTACTAGTGAAATCATGCAAATGGCAAATAAATATTTATTTATTAAAACAGCAACCCTTCATTTTATTGCTTTTCTTAAACTTGCTGTAACTCTCACATTGAATCAGAAAAATAAACTTTTGTTTAGGAAATATAAAAGCTTAACCAAAAACCTCAAGAGATTTGTTTTGGCCCAAATGTAATATTTTTTATTTATAAGTGTTTAAAACAAACAAACAAACAACACATACAAATCAGTGCTGAGTTCAGTGGGTTTGATCATGTTGTTGATCTCGATTTTTGTCTCAGTCCAGCGAGGTTACAGATAACACAAATGTGACTTGAATGTTTTCTGCTGAAATGCAGGTCAGGTGTTGCTTTCCTCCCACACCGAGTCTATTGTGTATTCATGGTTACACAAGCTTATTGTAGGTGTGTGTATTTATAGGTGCGTGTGTAAAGTCTGAATCGCTCTGTGTATCTGTCACTGCATTGTGCTCAGGGGCGGAGCCAGGGGGTGGCCAGGGGTGGCCCTGGCCACCACAGACAAATCTTTGGCCAACCCATTGGCCACCCTGCTGGACCCTTTCACAGTGAAACAATGTTTAGGGGTGTAATAATCCTCCTGAACAGTTGGTGGCAGTGTTTAACAGTTTGAAGCATCATTAAGCTCTATCACTGAAGAAGAGTAATGACAAGAAAGTGATGCTTTCTTTATATACAGCACATTTGCCTATGTAATCTGACCAATGGTGTCAACTTTTGGACTTATGGTGACAATTTTTTTTGCCACCATACAGTGTAATTTTATGTTTTGAAGTCTGCATGATGATCTGTCCCTTTTAGTTATGTGTAGAACTATCACAACATCAGAAATAGAGTAACACCCCTCTAAATTTACTGTTGGTGGTTATCAGTATTGCACCTGTTCGTTGGGTAAAATTATTGATATTAGTTTAAACATGCAGTTGAGTGTCATCATTATTTGGCACAATTTGACATGTGTTTCAATAAATATAAATCAATAAACAATATAAAACCTGGACGCCTCCATGGTGAGGTGTTCCGGGCATGTCCCATTGGGAGGCGGCCTAGGGGAAGACCCAGGACACGCTGGAGGGACTATGTTTCTCAGCTGGCCTGGGAACGCCTTGGGATTCCCCCGGATGAGCTGGCCCAAGTGGCTGGGGAGAGGGAAGTCTGGGTCTCTCTGCTTAGGCTGCTGCCCCCGCGACCCTGTTCCAGATAAGCGGCAGAAAACAGACAGATGGACGGAAAGAATATAAAAGTAAAAGGCACCCTTAAAGTCATTGGATATGATAAATTGTGTCACATTAATTAACTTTATCTCAGCCACAGCAGTGAGTTTAAAAACAGGATGATGGAACTAGTTTGATGAACACTCTGTCTCTGAAATAATTATTAAATGAAGCATTTATTTATGTAGGTAAAAGTATGTTAAACAACCTGGTAAAATACACCAGAATGCAGGAAATGACGTCTATTTCGTTGAAAATCTTCTGGGGGAGGACCCCCCAGACCCCTCAACAGTCTGTCCCCCCGTTTAAAACGGTTCTGACGCCCATGTTTATAAGGTAGTCACTCACTGCCTGTATAAGGACATAAAGAAATGACCAAAACACAAAGATCTTCAAAAATTTTCAAGTAAAAAATGATGTCATTTTCCTGGCCACCCCTGTGTGAGTAATGGTCTGGCCAACCCTGAGAAAAATGTCTGGCTCCGCCACTTTGTGCTCCTCCGAAAAATGTGTAGTATTTGGTCTCTTTGTCTTTGTTTTGCATCTTAAAGCCAGAATTTTTAAGGAACACCTTATGTGACCAGTTAGCCCTCAAGGCTAACAGCTCTTAGTTATTACCACACTAAACTGTAGATCTTTAAATTTGATTAAATTAAAGCCATTTTTATGTTTTCCAAAGCATGTTGGCTGTGGCTCAAAAAGTTAACCAGCTGTAGTTGTTTCATTAAAGTGTCTGCGACATCAAATGTTTGCAATAAATTTGAATGCATTTATGGAAAGACAACATTAATAACATATTACAAAACATTTTTTACGCTGCTCAGATGAACAGTTCTTGAGATATTTGCATGTGAAATAACAGGAAGTGATGTCATAGGAGAATGTCTGCATGTGAACAGTGTTACTAAAATGACAAACAACACTTAATGTAGAGAAGAACTTAATGTTTCTTCAATTTATTTTGAGCTACCATCAAAGAGAGATGAAAAAGTGTCAGAGTTCAAATAATATTGTTTCAATAAACAGAGACAAGAGAGTTTTCTTTCTTAAAGATTTCCCCTTTGATGTCACTTCCTGTTTCACTTTGGCTGAGCCAAGTTCAAAAGAAAATATGCCAGTTATGTGACAAAATTGGTAAAATATAAAAAACTATGCCACGTTTCTTGCATATAAAGATGTTTACTTTGATTTTTTTATATTTGAAGAATGTGCATGTCACAGGCACTTTAAAATCTGTCAAACAGCTCATGGGATATTTTGCAAACAGACAAAAAAAGAGTAATACCAATTGTTACAAATTATTGTGTATTCAGATAGGCTTTAGTACTGATGAAGTTCTGGCAGCCATATTTGTATTTGCTTGCGTTGATTAGATTTGACAGCCATTTTAATCACTTTGACCCCAAATAAAATAATTAATACTGGTTCTCTGATGTTATAGGGGTGCATTAGTGCAGTTTCTTAGTTTTGACAGTTGATTTGTTTACTATGAGTTTATAAGATGTCTTGCAATCTGTTTCAACCTTTTTTGTTTTACACGAAGTCCAAAGTTTTCCATTACTGGCCATAACAAACACTTACCTGGTCACGATGACTAAGATAAACATCTTGCGTGTCCGCATTCATCTGTAAGTTATTTAGTCACGCTGATGGTATGATATTCATTAGAATTCAGTGACAAGGTGAAAAGTTTCCGTGACCACAGAGTTTATTCCCTCTGTCAGACCTCACCTGGCCCCGAGGTGGAAGGAGTGCTTTCCCTTGAAAGAAAGGGAACCACGAGGGCATGCTGCAATTATCTGGGAGCGCCTTTTTTATCATAATGAACACACAACCTCAAGCCTGTGTGATAACTAATATTTATGTGGGTAAATGTTCTCTGTGGTGTTACATAACATCAGATTTGGAGCTGTTGAATAATGACAGTTCTCGCAGGGTCTGACTTGGGACTAACAAGGACCCTTTAACTTTGATCAGAATGTGTTTTCTTGGTTTGTGAGATATTTTGTTAACAGGCAAACAAATGAACACAGATGCAGGTATGATGGCCTTGGCTACAAACAGGACATCAACAGGACGCCAGGGTTAAAATCACAAATAAATTCATATGAACTTCTGTACTGTCACCTGAATATCTTTATTTAAAACATCAACACGGTTCAGAGCCACAATGGTTTAGAGGATTTATTTACATGACTGTTGATAAGCGTCATTATGTAACTTAGAGGTGATAGTAAAAGTACAGGAACATGAAATGATTAATAACTTCACAGAGTTCAGTGTCAGCTCAAAGATTTTAACCCCTTAACTGCACCACAGTTATACTAAATACTTTCTGAGAGTTTGATTCAAATCCATTCAGTGCTTTTGAGGAAATATTTTGCTTACATATAGACACAAGCTAATTAAACGATCACCTGTTGTTTATTTAAAATAACAGATGTGACCCTGACCTGCGAGAATAAAATTACTTGTAACAAGGTTAAAGGACGTTTAAAAAGTTTACAAGGCAGCTATCAGAGCTCTTATCGGACTCAGAAATGTGTCAAGTCAGAGCGAGAGTTTAAAGTTCAGTCTTCTTCAGCCAGACATCTGCTGCAGGCAGATTTGAGTACAAAAAAATTGCATGAAACAAATATTACTGTTGCATCTCAACATCAAACTGTGGAGTCAGATTTAATGAGTGTTTGCTGCACATCAGTTTAAAGCACCCCAACAAATATGGAGGAAAATAAAATAATCCTGACTAAAATTACAAGCTAAATGCTAATGCAAGCTCAAACAGTTTTAATCCTAAATGTTTTCCCAAAACAACTTAAGCTTCAAAATTTTATATTGATTATTGTGAAAGCTGTTTTATAAAACAGTTATCTGCAATAATACAGTAGTTATTTGCAAGTGTAAATATAGCAGAACTTCCTGCAGAAATATAATTTTCTGATATTATAATTGTAAAATGTGAAATTAACTGTGATGTAAAAGTGTATCCTGTGGTACATGTAATATGCTAATTCTGTACTGTGGAGAT